AATATAAATACACATACTGTATATGAAAAAAACTAAATGCTCTCTGGTATTGTTCTAGGGGCCGGACCAAATCGGGAGGTGGGCTGGATCCGGCCCCCCTGGCCGTTGTTTGGGGACCACTGTATTAAAAGTAAAAGTATTGCTTTAAAATGAGCTGTTAGATTTTCTATAAGGACATTTATTAGGAGGTGAACTCCCCAAAACAATGCGGAAATGAGTGTTTTATTAAAATAATTTATTTATGTTAAATTTAGGATGCTCTATCTGTTTCAGTTTATATACATACATCAAGTCTGTCCAAACCTTTTCCACAAAATGAAAATATATCTGAGAGCGCGGTCAAATGCAGTAATATAATTCATGAAATACAAATACTTCTTAAGTACAGTCCTTTTATTTTAATGATTATGTCCTGCTGAGCGTGACATGATTTGTTTGTGAACAAACTATTAATATAGTATCAGAATTTTATATATTTATACTTCTCATTCAACCACAATAAATTCACTCTATCTAGGAGGCACAATTTACATGGATAATACTTTTTTTTACAATAACAAGCTGGAATGAAAACAAGCAAAAATCAAATAAAAGTAACAACTTTCTACTTCATACCTTTTTTAAAATGTGAGTAAAAAGTACAGATAACTGTGTAAAAATATACGGAGAAGAAGTAAGGAGTAGGCTGAAAAATAATTACTCAAGTAAAGTACAGATATCCAAAAATTCTACTTAAGTACAGAAACAAACTATTTGTACTTAGTTACTATACAACGCGGCAGGCAACCTAATTAGAATTTAAATACTTTTACTTCATGAATCTTTCTGTAGTATATTCATTATATTAAATGTTTATTACTCTTTCTAAATTCTTCCACCATCCATCTTATCTCTTACATTTATTGTTTCACTTTCTTCATAATGTTGACAGTTTCCTGCATCCTTTGATTGCATTCTGCATCGTGTATTGTTGATTCCTGTGTTCAAATCTCTTCTCTCTTCTGTTCATCCTTTCTCTTCTCATTTCTCCCACTCTCCTTTGTATCTTACAAAACCACCTTTCTTTGTGTTTGTTCCATTATTTCTGTCCATTTGTGATGAAACTGGAGATCCAATGGATTTCTACTGCAAATCTTTTTGTAAATGAAGTTAACTTATGCAAAAGGGAAAGAAAAGAGAAGAGCATCATTCCATTCTGCAAGTTGAAAGTCATCGTCTCCAACCACCATTTGACACTAAAATGACGTAACAAGTGGTGGGCAGCACTAATCTAAATATTAGTTGCACTAGCCCTAAAGCACTAACTCTAATATTTAGAGTTAATTCTAAAGCACTAAAATAATTCAGTTGAGACATGAAACATTCTTCAGAGTCAACATGAGACAATATCTACTGTGTGCAGAATATTGTCACTTAGTGTCCTTGGTGGGCTAAATGGGAGTCATCCGCAGACCACATTTGGCCCGCGGACCTTGAGTTTGACACATGACGTGTTCAATACTTATTTTACCCGCTGTATCTACAAGGTCAACATTTTTCTCAGTAAATATATTACTAGAGGTGCTAATGACATGAAATTTTCACCAGATGTCGMTAACAACCCAAGTGATCCATACATACAAAGAAATCAAACCATKAATGTCCAGAAATGAAGTTATTTGTAATAATGTGGAATGGCACAGGGAAAAATATTGAACACATGAAGAAAGGGAGGTGTAAAAAGGCATGGAAAGCCAAGACACCAGCTGAACTCTCTCAGTAATTAGAAAACAAGCCTGCCCCTTGTCAGTGGAAGTTAATATCAGCTGGTTCAGTCCCAAATGATGGCCAGGTATCAGACAAGAACCATCTGATGATGGGTAAAAGTAAAGAGCTCTCTCACGACCTTCACAACCTTATTGTTGCAAAGCATAATGATGGCATCGGTTACAGAAGAATGTCTAAACTTCTGAAGGTTCCAGTGAGCACTGTTGGGGCCATAATTCAGAAGTGGAAAGAACATTATTTCACCATAAACCGACCACGACCAGGTGCTCCTCACAAGATTTCTGACAGAGGAGTGAAAAGAATMATCAGAAGAGTTGTCCAAGAGCCAAGGACCACTTGTGGAGAGCTTCAGAAAGACCTGGAATTAGCAGGTTGGACATTTCAGCAAGACAATGAGCCCAAACACAAAGTCAAGGAAACTCTCAGTTGGTTTCAGAGAAAGAAACTAAAGCTGCTGGAATGGCCCAGCCAATCAGCTGACCTGAATCCAACAGAAAATCTATGGAAAGAACTAAAGATCAGAGTTCATAGAAGAGGTCCACGAAACCTTCAAGATTTGAAGACTGTTTGTGGAAGAATGGGCCAAAATCACACCTGAGCAATGCATGCCACTAGTTTCTCCATACAGGAGGCGTCTTGAAGCTGTCATTGACAACAAAGGCTTTTGTACAAAGTATTAGATAAATTTCAGTAAGTGTGTTCAATACTTTTTCCCTGTGCCATTCCACATTATTACAAATAACTTCATTTCTGGACATTTATGGTTTGATTTCTTTGTAAGTATGGATCACTTGTGTTGTTACCGACATCTGGTGAAAACTTCATGTCATTAGCACCTCTAGTAATATATTTACTGAGAAAAATGTTGACGAGTTCAATACTTATTTTACCCGCTGTATGTGACATGCATATGAACAAAATGTGACAGCTTTCACCATCAACTGTGAACAATAAGACCTCAGTTAGTGCTTCTAAATTCAGCCCATAAATTTAGCAAGTGCTAATCCACTAATGAATTTAAAAATCGCAAAAACCCTAAAGCACTAATCAATAAATTAGTTCCCCTATTAGTGCTTTAGTACTTTAGGGGAACTGTGCCCACCACTGGATGTAACAACCACCTGCAGGAATTCACAGTAAATATTATTCATCCCGTGTCTTGCTGCTGATAAGTTGATTTAATTCCTTTAGAAACCCTTGTCTGAGTGAGAGGWAAGTCCAACCAAAGATGCCCCGACTTCACTTCAACACAGAAAGCCTGTGAGCCCATCAGATTTCAGCGTTTTCCAGTCATACACGCATTACACGACCTTCCAGTTCCTCTCTTCCCTCTGCTGCCTCTGCAGCTCCTCCCACTTCCAGCTGCTCAAGATCCTTCTAAAGTTTAGTTTTRACTCAGTAAGGAGCTCCAGAGAACGGTGAGCTAACTGCTTCCTTCCTTTAAACTTCAGTTCATCGTACCCTGAGTTTTCCTCTTTGCTGTCAGGATCAGGCTTTCAGTCAGAGAACAATCTGCATCATGAGGAATAGTCAGTCAGATATTCTGTTGAAAACCCAGCTGAACGTGTATTAATTTATGTCTTATAAGACCATCAAAGATAATATTTGTGTTAGTATGTTGTATGATTTATTTGGCTTTATGYTTTTGTTTTTGTGTCTTTTACCTTGTAGTGTGGGTAAATTGTGAAACACTTTGCTCACAATTGTTTGCTTTAAAACGTTTTGTAAAGAAAGCTGACACTGAACGAGTATTTTATAAATACAACACAGATTTTTAATGTTTAATAGTACATCTTTTAATTGTTGAGAAAGCAGTTTTACTATATTTGTTTTTAAAAACCTTCCTTTTTATTTGGTTTAATCTCCCTGCTGTGTATTAGAGGACTGCAAAGATTTGATGAAAATATACAATGTAATGCTTTTGTTCCATACTTTATGTCTTGTTTAGTTGTAAATTACAGACATTTTTTCAAATGACAGACATTAGAGGGAAAGTAGAGTCAACTTTGGAGTCCTGTTCCATCTAATAGTTAACAATATTTAGTACCTTTTCAGCTGTGACGTCAAACGTCGAGTGTGAGGAAAGAGGCTAAACAAGGGCCAGATTTTTWAATTGTTTTTCAGGCTTACAGTATAAAAAAACACTTTTTAAAAAGTGAAATACCTGAAGGTAAAAGTAGAAGGTCTGATGTTGAATGTTATCAGTGGTTCTGCTCACAGGTTAGACATGAGGTAGAGGAGGAAGAGAACTGCAGGAGAGTATTCTCAGGGAGGAGTAAGTGGTGAAGTAGACCTGAATGGACATGTTGGTGAAGTAAACAGAGGATGGGAAAGTGAAGGGTGTGCTTGGTATCAAGGAAAGGAGCCAGGAAAGACAGATGATGAAGGGTTTTGCCTAGAAGATGGAAGTGGATGTAGTCAACAGCTTTCAAAAAGAGGGAGAAACACAGGGTGACCGATAAGACTGGAGGGAGGAGTACGCAGTAACCTGAGGGACTGTAAGGTTGTGGCAGGGGAGCGTGTGGGCAGACAGCTTCAGATGGTGGTGTGTAGATAACTGTTGTGGTGAAGAAGAGAAAAAGAAGAAGAGAAGAAGACAAACGGTGGAAACTGAGGAAAGAAGAACGTTTGGAGTGAGCTCCTAAAGGTTCTGGGTGGTAGGGAAGAACTTCCAGATGACTGGACTACCACAACAACGGTGATCAGAGACAGGAAGGTACTCGGTGTGTCGTTTAGTCAAAGACAAGATTGTAAGGAAACCTGGGAGTAGACTGTTGAAGTGCAAGAAGATTTACAGAGGAAAATGTGAGAGTGAGAGGACTGAAGAGAGTAGACAGGATTGTGAGATACAACGTGCCGTAGGTCTAAGAGGGAGGAAGCAAAAGTCAAACAGAAGGCGTATGATAACGAGGCTGGACACTAAGGAGGAAGACTTGAAGGAACTGGTGAAACAGAGATAGTCCATTGGCAGAAGGGGGTGCAGAAAACTTAACTTCCAATAACTTTGCTAGAAAACAAATATGATTCATACTGATTATTATTTTTTGCTTGACATGACATTTCATTAAACAAATATGCATGCAATGATGTCATCAAGGGGTCATAAGGTCACAACCCCAACAGAAGATGAAAATTTTCCTCTTTTTAGTTCATGGTCTAGGGTGGGTCACCGTGTACCCCCAGTTTTTGATTGCATCACTACTTACTGACCACCCCCTCCCCGATCTGAACCTGAGTGTTGTTTTGTTATTGGTCAACACGTTCTCACTCCCGACTCGTCAACATATTGACGCTTGGTCAGGGACCGTCTGCCTTCAGTTTTGACGTGTCGGGTCCCCCCTCACGTCAGTCCTTGCCGCCCGTGGCTTTTCCGGGTTGCACCACTTGGGAGTCTTTGGGTTGGGGGTCTGAGGTTAATATGAGGGATCAGAATTAATGGTTAATTTTAGGTACTGGGGTTAGAGATAGGCTGCATATAGCTAATAGAAGTAAAATGTAGGGTCTCTTACAGTTAGTTCTCATGCATTCTCTACACTTTCAAAAAGGATTAATATGAGGGATCAGGGTTAATGGTTAACTTTAGTAAGTGAGGTCAGGGATAAGCTGTATAGGGCTAAGATAAGTTAAATTTAGGGTCTGGGATGGTTAGTTGTCGCGCATTTCTTACTCTTTTCAAAAATTATGATAACACGCTCCTCCTTCTCCTCCATCTCATCTTGTTAAGAATGATGGGGGGCACRCGACGGGTCCAAAACTGGACAGCTACCTGACCAAGCGTCAATATGTTGACAAGTCGGGAGAGAGAATGGGTTGTATTGGACTTCTGTGCACGTCATTATTGTCCATAATGAACACCATGTTCAAACATAAGGGTGTCCATGTGTCTTTGCACCAGGAAACCCTAGGTCACAGTTCAATGATTGAGTTTGTTGTCGTCTCYTCTGATCTGCGGCCGCATGTTTTGGACACTTGGGTGAAGAGAGGGGTGGAGCTGTCAYCTGACCACTACCTGGTGGTGAGTTGGCTGAGGTTCTCCCTGGGAGTGACAAGGATGAATAAGATTAGGAATGAGACCATCAGAGGAACAGCACAGGTTTAACGACTGCGAGATAAAGTTAGAGACCAAACTGAGATGGTTGGACGTGTCCAGAGGAGGGACAGTGGGAATATTGYTAGAAGGATGTTAGAGATGAAGCTGGCAAGAAAACAACAAGAAAGAAGGCCAAAGAGGAGATGCATGGATGTGATTAGAGTGGAAAGGGTGGCAAAGAAGATGCAGAGTGAAATGGAGGATGACTTGCAACCCCTGAAAAGGGATCAGCTGAAAGAAGAAGATTTATAGAAGTGCATATGAAAAACACTACATTAGCTATCACTGTGTTCTCAAGGGAACAGCATCCATATTACAATGTGAATGTTTGGCTGAGGCCACTGAATGTATCAGTCTGCCTGAGCAGTGTGTGGAATTGAATTGAATGTATTGTCACTATTGTCATGTACAAGGAGATTAAAGAGTTGTCTAATAGTGTCTAGCCATTCCAAAAGTTTACTCATCACAACACAACGTTGTAAGGTTGAGAAAACAGCAACAAGCTAAACAAATGGTGGAAAAAAGGTTTAGAAGTTTAATATGATCTTATGTAGTGTTATTTCACACTTTTTATTTTTAAGAAGAAAGTTGTTTTAAAAACCTGTAAGACACTTTAAATTTGTCCATTTGGCTAATCAGTTGCCTAGTCTGGACTCTAAGTTTGATGGTGCAGTTGATAAGATACTAACTATTAATAACTTTTAGACAAAAACTGAACTATCCCTTTAAAGCTCTGCTGTTGCACATAAAGCCCACAAAGCCACAGAAGCATCTGAAGATTAACAGATTAATTTCACTTCTTAAAGTCTTATTTTTAGATAATACAAATGACCTTCCAAGAACGTACGCCTTTTCTTTGGTTTTAAATCTTACAGCTATGGTGCAAAAGAAACAAACAATTCTCCAGAGTGGATGGAGGAAAAAAAAAATCAGGAAGTTTGGCATAAATATCTCAGAAGGAACTAAGCCTTCTTGGCTTGAGTCAGACATGCCCCCTTCACATAAACTGGATATGCAACATTTACAACATTCTTTTTTTTCACAAAACAGGCTTCTTTTTTTCCCTCCAAGTCAGAGGTACAAGCAGGAAAATCAATTATCCTAATGTGGGTAAAATATGACTGAGAGCAGTCATGCAGCCGTGACTGAAGACATTTCTCAGTTCCTTTATCACAGCACATGATCAGACATGACTGCACAGCAGCTGGATGACTGAAAGAATGTTGAACTCTTCATTTTCCAATGGAGTGAATTCATAGAAGCACCTTTTCTTGGACAAAATTTAGGAATTCTTAGAATTTGCTGCAGTTTGTTAGAAATATTCAACTTTTCCTCTGATGTGAGGCAGGGGAGAACAGTCATTGTATTCAGTGAGATCAGTTTGAAGCTGGGAATTTTTATCATGTTGTTTTGGTTAAAAACTGCTCCTGTGAATTGTAAAGGCCTGTCTCTGCATGTTTACTGTGCAGACTGTGTGTCTTGTTTTTGGCGGCACGACGGCTCAGTGGTTAGCACCGATGCCTCACAGCAAGAAGGTCCTGGGTTCGATCCRCGGTTCGGACCTGGGGTCTTTCTGTGTYGAYTTTGCATGTTCTCCTCGTGCTTGCGTGGGTTTTCTCCGGGTACTCCGGTTTCCCCCACAACACAAAAACATGTACAATAGGTTGCCTTCAGGCTCAGGCCACCCTTGAAAAAGAGATCTGAGATCTCAATGGGATTTGCCTGGTAAAATAACAGTTTTACATTTTAAATGTGATGTGCAACATTTGCCCAAAAATGGACCAAAGAACTAACCAGATTATAAACTAGTTATTTTTGTTGCCATGTAGTTAACTTTCCAGGTTTGATAGGAGGCCCTGTTTGTGATTTTTCAACATTCCTCCAGAAGAGGTTTTTTTTCAAGCCTCCAGGGACAGAGCAGGGCATCTGTTGCAGATGCAGCTTCCTGAAGCGGTGGTCAGAAGATCTTTAATGCTTTTGGGTTGAACTTTGCTGTCCCTGGTCTTCGACCCTGTTTGTTGCAAATGATGTGGCTCTGTTGGTGACTTCAGGCCACCTTTAGCAGAGTGTGAAGCCACTGAGGTAAGAGGGTTCCTCCAAGTCTGAGGCCATGGCTCTAAACTGGAAAACGTCTGAATTCTCCCTCCAGGACAGGGCAGGGCTGAGTCTCTAACTTAAGTGGAGAAGTTCAAGTATCTGGAAGTTTTGTTCGCATGTAGGATGCAGCAGGAGATGGGRTGGGGCTTTGTCCAGTAATGAGAGCGTTGCTCCAGGCTGTCATGGTGAAGAAGGAGCTGAGCTAAAGGGCAAAGTTCTGAATTTACTGGTTGATTCCAACACTTACAGTACCTTGTGTCATGAGGTGTGGATTGTAACTGAAAGAGCAAGATCCAATATACAAGCAGTTAGAAAATGTTTGCCCTACAGGGTGGCTGGGCTCCGCCACCTGCTTCAACTCGATTAGTTGCAACATTAGACTTTATATGATAAACATATACTTTAACTGTAAAATAAAGACTGTAAAAATACTTTAGGCTGTTTAGTTTTGTTAATTTTTTAAAATATATTTTAACACGGACAGAGCCATTTTATTTACACGCAAAGCATTCTGGGTAAATGATGACGTGGATAGGTCCTTGGTGTGAGTGAGCTATATCCACCCTGAAGGTTAATCTTGGTCTTTTAAATGAAACCAGAGAGCGTTGACAGAGAGGAGAAGGTAGAAATGACTCAGCCTGTAACTGAAAATATGGGTGG